CACAGGACTGGAAAAGATCCAATGCTGAGTCACAAACTTGTGAGTGTCTCCTAATACTCACTCACTCCTTTTCATATGACAATATAAACACCAATTGTTAGGTAGGCTTATAGTCACCTAAAATAAGAACACTTTTCAGCACTTTACCAGCTAGGTATTGCCATGTGACTAAGTTCTGGCCAATAGCACGTAAGAAGTGAGTTGTGCAACATGAGAGATGAAACCTTAAAGGTAGAGGATGTGCTCGCACTTTTCTTTCATTCTGCTATTTCACTATGGTTGTGATAGCAAGAGTATTCTTAAGGCATCAGGACAAGAGTGATTGTAGACATTCAACAATTGGGTTTTAGCATTATTGCACATTTTTCAAGCAAAAAATTTTGGCAACTTTTTTTTTATACTATCTTATTAAGAATATTTGTAAATCAAGTAGTTTTGGAAGATAGAAACAGAGTCTTTCTTTGGGGCAGAGGGCAGATCTTTTTCTTGACTAGAATAAACTGTCTCTCTTCAGAGCAAATGGTTTGCTGGCATCCTCTTTTAACAAACAAGCATTTCCTAAACTCCATGTCCCTCAAATGTGAGAAAAACTCACTGTGTGTACAGCAGTTACCTGAGTCTCTCTGTATCAACATGGTGGGACTTGGGGGCCCAAGAAGAAGCCATACAAACACGAAGCCTATACTGCCTATTGTGCTGTGAGTAATAAAGCTATTTTTCCCTGACCCAGGGATCTTGTGTCTTCTTCCAGCATCTATGAAGCTGTAGTAGGCTAATCTGTTAGCTTCTAAGTAAGGTTAAATTTAAAACTCTTTACAGTTCATGACAAAGGGTTATATTCTACATGTGACATAGTTGAAAATGGGAAACAGCCTGGGTCTCAATAGTTACAAAGCTACTTGACACACATTTGACCCATATCCTAACTAATACAAGACTTATTTCCTGCAACTGTTATTCTGTAGTCACTGGAATAGTAAATATGTGACACTCACTTAGATGGGCACATAGTAACTAGATTTCAAAACCCTGAGACCTAGTCTCTAAACTTTAGGTAAAACTCATCTGCATGCTGAATAAACACATACATCAGGAGAGTGGTGGGGAAGACTCAGATTCTTGCCATTCTCAGCAAAATTCCAGAAGAGTTTACTAAAGTCAGGAATATTTCTGATCTCCTGTCAATGTTTAGCTTGCAAGGAAATACTGGTTATTATACCCAGCAAACTGAACTATGACCTTGATGATTCCTAAGAATTTTTTGTGTGTATTCTTTCTCATTGCCTCAGAATGAAATTCTAACTCCATAGCAAGGGGCACATCCCCTTCATTCTCCCTCTATTCTTTCTTTCAGTTCTACCAACTGCATCTCTTCCTTCTCCTCTGTCACTACTCCCTCTTCCATCAATATGACATACCTGCCGCTCTTTATTTGTCACCTGCTGTGACCTTCCGTGCACCTTGTCTTTACTCATAATGTTTTCCCTGTATGTAATGCTTTCTCCCTACTTTTTATTTTTCAAATTTCTACTCATCTTTCAACTCTAAGTTAAAATGTCACATTTTCATTCTTGCCGTGAAATGTCAGCTGTCACTTCCTATGTTGTCAGGGCACAGATTTTTCTTTGCTCCTCAGATTCTCAATATCTATCTTGTCATTGTAGTAAAACAAAACAGGAAATCTATCTAAACTATAATTAAATAAATTGTGAGGGGAGATCTGAGAAGATAACCTTTGATAACTGTCCATGAAGTTTGGTGCCTACCTTCTAGCATTTATTCTAACTGCTTAGAATATATTTTTTAGATCCCTTGGTTATTTTTATAACATTAATAGTAGTTATAATAATCGTTGTTATTATTGTTGTTATTTATTTTTACATTGCAATTCTTAGTCACTTAGCAAATTTATGTTTCAAAATAAATGGATTGTAGATAATTGCTAATAACATATATTTGGTAGGTACACAATTTTAAAAATCTTGAAATACATTTATTAATTTTAACAATAGATCCATAAATAAGCCCAAAAGGATACTAGTATATCTTTTACACAAATTATAATTTTCTCATTTTTTTCATAGATTGTTTTTGAGGAAAAATTTAGTGTATTTATTCTTTTCAATTCATTTGGCCCTAATATTAATCAAAATTTATATTATATTATTAAAATTATAATAATTTTATTACTTATATGTAGACTATATAATACTATGAAGGACATTAAAAGCATAGATATAAAAGAAATCACTGATAAACTAGCTTAGGCTTTAGTAAGTAATTTATAAATAACTGCTACTATAAATATAGCAAACATTTATTTTTCAAAAGGAACTTTCAAATATTAAGTCATTTGTATTAAGGCTTTACATAAATTTCTTTTTTGTATAATCCCTTATGTTATTAGACTTTATTAGGGGAGAGTTCACATAGAAGAGAGACTGAATGAATAGTGGTTTGTAATTATGTAATTATATTAAAGAATCATAAACTTTATAAGTTCACCTTATTTCCAAATAAAGGGCTATACTGATAGGCTCAATATTTGACTTCTACAATGTAAGCAATATGTTATATTAATTATTAATTTTATATACATTTAGCTATATATTTGTACATGTTAGCATTTTTAATAATTTCCGAAAAAGAAATTGTATGATATATCACTTCACAGAAATAATGTATTATCAGCAATGCTGGACTCAGATACAGCAATACCATAATTTATCACTGTTATGTATATAAATAAATAGAGCAGCTTAAAATCAATAATTCTTTTAAAACAATAGACAAAGGAGGGAAAGGCATTTCTTATATATAAACTATATACCTCATGTGAAGATACCCAATAAGCAAAATTCCTGCAAAAAATAATTTAAATTTTAATAATAATACACCAAGATTATAGCATACTTCTTTTGAGTTAGATCTTTAATTTAAATAAAACATAAACAGTTAAAGTTTACATTTCATAAAGTGTTCAGGAAGACAAAATCTTCTGAGTGAAGAATGATTTCACTTCTGGGTGATTTTAGAAGCTAAATTGTCCAGTACTTGTTCTTCAAAATGTTCCTGTTGGTTAATATCAACATGTTGCAAGATTGGGAGCTGGCAGACAACTTGAGAATAATTGAGCAAAAAGGCATTATGTCCATAAAGGGCACACTTGGGAAGTCATAAACATTTTATCATGGCAGGCATTAAGAGAAACAAACAGCTTTAAAAAAATATGTCTCTGGGATTTGAATCCGTTTAACCATCATATTATAGTATGATTAAAGGATATTAGGGTATACATTTGTAAATGTAAGAACTGAATTATTTTATATGCTGAGTGATAATGTCTTCCTGTGCATTTATTTATAAACGGAGAAGTATAGAATTAAGTCTATTTACCAATATATTAAGCATAATGTCCACTAGTAAGACAAAAATTTCTTAACATCCAATCTTATTAAAACACAAGCAAGTCGTAGCACTCCTCTCCTCAAAAATTATTGTATGACTTCCTGTTTCACTCAAGGTGAATGTCCACAAATACCCGCCTCAGAGTGATCCTGTACCCCCCCTTCTCACCTTTTCTGCCATGCCACCCTCAGTCTCTGCTCCAGCCACTCGGGCTTTCTGGAAGCTCTTGGAACTTGGTTCTTACAAGTTCTGTGGTTCTGTGTGCCTCGAATCTTCTTTAGCAGATACTTCTGAACTCACATCCAACCACTACTGTCTTCTTCAAATTTTTATGCAAACATCATCTTTTCAGTGAGACCTTTCCTGATCATTTATTTAAAATTACAACCAAATGTGCCCTCATACCAAAGTTGCTCTCCTGACCCCACTTCCCTGCTCTATGTCTACAGCACTTAGTACTTTATAAAGAAGTGTACCTGTTTATTTTCTATGCTATGTGTATACCTTGCTCCAGAAGAACTAAGTGCAAGAAGTTTTTTCCTGATTTGTTCTTGGATGTAGTTGCAAAACTTTAGATAATATGCATGTGGCACAAACTAGGCATTCAAACATATGTGCTGAGTGAATGAATAAATAAATGCAACTCTGTACCTCACTGGGATGAAATTTACATGGCTATGACCTAATAGACAAGATATATTTTATTAGAAATAGACATGTATTTGCAATTATTTAAGTATCATTTATGCTGTAGTACTTGTTTTCCTGCGTACATAGCATACTTTTCATTAACAAAATAAGTATAGGGAAATGAGTGAATTAAGTAATATGTTTTAATAATATGCAATCAGTCTAACATCACTGCACACTTTTTTGTGTGTGTGTAAAGTCCTGTTTTTCTGTGTAACTTGTTAGCTATCATATAGGCACTGATTAAGGGAGCTGATGTATGACAATACTTTTTTAGATATTCCATTTATTTAGCATTCTGAACTTCTTGTGGGGACAGAACACAAGTAGGCATGATCTTTGCTAGTGCAAATCAACTGCTTATCAAGTAAGATAATCAGTTTTCTTTTTATTATGGCATTTTCATGAAAAAATTTGAAGGTAAATATATCTCATTCTGCATTTTAAATAACAATTTCTCAATATTTATTAAAGTGATATATTAACATATTGAGTTATTATTTCATAAGCAATTTAAAACTAACATTCTAGAAATAAGAGAGGTTAGAAAATTGTAGTTGTTTTAATTTCATCTGTTATACTGCATATTAAAATGATGGGAACTCTAGGTGTATACAATTATTTATAGAGTACCCTTAACAAAAATGTCCATGTGAAGTCATGTATCTCAAATATGTTTGAAGCTCATACTGTGATTAAGATTTATTCTTTTAACATGTTTTTTTTTTTCCCTTTATTGATTTTAGAGAGAGAAGAACTGAGAGGGAGACAGAGATAGAAACATCGATGAGAGAGAACATTGACTAATCACTTAAGATTTATTCTTAAAAGACTTTTCCTTTTCTACATTTTGTCATCCATACTATAGTATGAAACCATGTTTTCCCAATTGTGTATTTTAGGTTGTATTCAGTGGGAGGTCGTGATGGAAGTTCGTGTTTGAGTTCCATGGAGTATTATGATCCTCATACAAATAAGTGGAACATGTGTGCTCCGATGTGCAAGAGAAGAGGGGGTGTTGGAGTGGCCACGTGTGATGGCTTTCTGTATGCCGTAGGGGGTCACGATGCTCCTGCTTCAAATCACTGTTCCCGGCTACTAGATTATGTAGAAAGGTAAGACCTCGAGGACACAGCTGTAGAGGGAAAGAGTGTTGTACACGGGTGCCTAATCCAGGAGCCTGCAAAAACCACAGAATGCAGGAAAGGCGAATTCAACTCCTGGAGCTGCTTCTCTCTCTCTCTCTCTCTCTCTCTCTCTCGTTCTCACACACACAGATACACACTTCATTCTCTCATTGTATTTTTTCCTTTTCTCCTTCCTTCTTTTGTTTCTTCAACTAATATTTATGTAAAACCCTACTTTTTTTTCCACAAGAACCTAAAGTCATCATTAAATTTCCCCTTAATATATTTTAAAATGTTGGTTAAAATATAATTTTTAGTAATTTATTAAATTAATGCTTGTTATTCTTTAAAAAAATATATATATATGTGTGTTCTATTTACTCCTATTTTGTTTGTAGGGCTACACCTTTCCAACTCTCGAAGGTGACTTGTGGATATCTCTGTTTATGCCATATATTTCTTACTGCAAGACAGACATATTAGAATTGTATCGTTTATAAATCTGGTATATGGAGGAAATATAGGTCTGCTTTGGCCAGGTGCAGAGGCTAAAGTGGAAATGCACCTTGGCTTCAGGTTTGATTTGACAACCCAGACATTTCTGGCGTGGTTCTATAGAACTTTACTTTAGAGCTTATGCATCACTTAGTGCTATTACACTGTATGTCGTAAGAATGAGAGAGTTAGGAACAACTCATGGTTATATTTCCTATTAGATAAATATATATACTGATATATGGGGGAGTAAGAATGGGGAATATTGAGGTTAATTGTTTTGTCAACTGGGATAGGATAAGTAATTCTATTGTAATGAATAACTTCAAAATTCAGTGACTTACTACCATGATTCCTTTTTCTTACGCTACGTAATCATGACAATTCCATGACATTCTATGGTACCCAGAATGACAGATAACATACAATATGAGCACTGCTGCTCTCTATGTCAAAAGGGGGAAGCCGGAGTAGTACATTGTTCTCTGGTTCTTAAAGACTCGACCTGAAGTAATATCATTCTTTTCTGTTTATACTTTGATACTAAACTAGTCGCATCGTGGCACAAAACTTCCTAAATTATACCTGGATGAAGAGCAAAATATTTGATGGATCACACTGATAACCAAAATAATTTTTTTCTTGATGTTAAAAAAATATATCTTTGATACTCATGCTTTTAAATGGTACATATAGTCACAGGGAGAAATGTGCTCTCTCTCACTTATGATATGTTTCCTAAGATATATTATTTTTACTGAGAATAAGGTCAATGGCAAGAGACAGATTTTAGCAAACAGGTTTGGTTCAAACTTAAGCCACATCTTGGATAAAATACAGAAACATATTTAATTGTATTGTTACTCTGTATACTTTTATAGATACAATCATGCAATCATTTATGTATTGACTTATTTGTCTTTTTATTTCTTTAAATACTGCTAATAGACTGATAGCTTATTCACATTTTCCACTGCTAAAGTTTTGGGTAAAATGACAGAGAAGATGAATATGATGAGGCTCCTACTTTTACTGTGAATACTTTATATCAATACTACCAATAAAATGATATTTCATACGCATATTCTCTTTTTACTTTACTGTATAATATATTCAAATGTTGTTTGTGAACAGAGATATAAATAATTCAGTCTAGGAATACATTTAGGGTGCAAAATTAGATTTAAATAAGTGTGGCTATTTTAAGTTACAGGAGCGCAGTGGGTATAAGCAGCCTAAGTAATGCAGAAGCACATGGCATTACCATGATTCCTAGTCAAGCTCATTCTATGTGTCAGATTAATAGCATTTTTGCACCTTCTACAACATATATTCTATGTTGATGATTTCACATGTACATCATCAATAAACCAAGATACCTAATGCTACCTCTGCAGAATTATTTTGCACATATAATGTAAAGAATACTTTTACTATATAATTAGAGGCAAACAAATCATTAGGACTAGCAAGAAGTAGTATGCAATGCTATGTTTTAAAGGTGAATAGATAGGTAGATGGGCAAATTTTATTATAGAACAATAATTCTTGTGGAAATGGAGAAGTATTATATAATGGTGGTGTTAAAGTACATTTATATAATAGTTATAAAAAATCTAAAGAGTCAAGCTGTCTTAAACACAAAGAACATTGGCATTTCAAATCAAAGCAGATAACAAGGCAGAGACTGAACAAGAACAGGAACTTTAGAAAATAGGTAATAGAACAGTGAAAACTAATTTTGCAGCCAAGCCTCACTCTTCTGATAGCATCTTAGGAGACAAAATCAATGTCTAAAATAGGCAGTATGGTTTGGCAAATTTAGGCCTAGAAGGTGCAATCCATTAGAAAAAGCGCATTCATCCATCTGTTTACTTATTCAACATATATTGTTTCACATGCATTTTTCACTCTGCTACATAGAAATTAAAATGTATTGGAAGGAAGAGACAAAGAAATGGCTAATTAGAACTCTTAAAGATCAGAAACAAAACTAGAAACCAGACCATGGATCAGAAAATATGCTGAAAGACATCAATTTCATTGTTATCTAATAACAGATCAGGACCACCTTGCCCTCAAACATGCATCCCAGTTAAGAGGACTGTAGGAGAGGGTGTCAAGACCGGAACTTCCCACACCTGCCTTTGTAATACCCGCTCTTGCTTCCTCCAATCTTCTCCCCTATAGAAGCCAGAGGGACCTTTCCATAATGCAGATTTGATCTGAAAGCACAATTGAGTTTTCATTAGTGTCAATTATCAATGTTATAATGAAAAAAAATTGTTTTACATATTGTTTTTCTTTCACTAAACTAGGTTCTATTTGATGATACTGAGCAAGATTAGCTTGTCTGTGCTCATATTCCTTTACTTGGCACAATACTTGGCACAGAGTAAACATTCAACAAGCATTTATTGAATCAGTCAGACACTAAGAAAAATAGTCTTCAAATTTCTCACAAAAAAATCATCTTGAGGTATACGGTAAATAGGTAGTTATATAGATTACTAAAAACATATAGATAGATAAATGATAGATAGATCATGATAGATAGATAGATAGATAGATAGATAGATAGATAGATAGACAGACAGACAGACAGATGATGGAGAGATAGATAGTTGATAGATAAGTAGATAGATAATAGATAACATGAAGAATGAATAGATGGAAGAATAGAGGATGGATAGATGTTTGGCTGTTTACATGGACTGGTGGAAAGATATATATATATATATATATATATATATATATATATATGTAGATTTTTATTTCTTATTTCTTTATTTCTATGTGAATACCCATTTTCACCACCATAGGCTGAATATCAATGGTTTATATATAGTTGAGGCATTTATTTAATAGGCAGAAACTTTTTGAAGGGGCCTAAAATATTAGGCAACTTTTTGTATATTAGTTGAAAATTATATCATTATATCTTACTATTTGAACATTAATAAAATCTAAGCATCACAAATTTTGGTATCTATTTCTTACAATAAAGATAAAACTTTTATTCAAACTCTGCCAAAATCTACTTTAGTCATATTAGAAAAAGTAACAGCGTTTAATATATTACTGTCAAGACATTGAATAACATTTTATTGTCATTAAATCTTTCTTAAAAAATGAAATATTTTAAGATTTTTCTCTCAGGCATGCAGGGATGAGTAGATTATTCATTTAATTAAATAATTATTTTTTAAAAATTAATAAAACATTATTATACAAGTTAAGAATAGATTTTTGGATTACTTCATTTGTTTCAGCTTCTCATTTTATGTTTTTGGCTCAGATATAAAAAATTATAGCATATCTAAAAACATGAAGAGAGATGATAAATGAGCGATAATTTTTATTTAAATTGTGGATGCTTATCAACTCAAAACCGTTTCACTTCATATGAGACCCTAAGTAACAGGACTGCTATAGCTTAACCAAAACAGGGAACACATCCATACACACCACGTGGAAGAGCCTCTACTGAGGAATATATTCTGATGAGAGAGTAATTTGTATGTCGACACTGAATTTGAAAGTAAGAAATCTTGTCTGATATCTTCAAACTATTTTAAGTTTTTGTATTCTTAACCTAGGAAGTGTTTGTGGCAGATGACTTGGAAAATCAGGAGAAAGATGATAAAATAAAGTAATTTCATCAGTAACTTTGCCACTCTTATTTATGTAAACTGAGGTCTATATTTGATACTTTTTCTGTTTAAAAATATACTTTCTAGGGAAGGTTAAATTTTAGCCAAATTGCAGTCTGTTTTTTTGTCTCCTTTTCTAACTGGTTCTGTGTCTCAGGAGTACAGCATACATGAAATGCTTAGACATATTGGCTGAATAAATCAATGGATGGATTAATGTGCATTTTCTGATGAATTGGGCCTTCTGATTTTAAATCCTACCAGGACTTTTGGTATTTTGTCATCTTCTTTTTTTTAATCCTCACCTGAGGCTATTTATCCATTGATTTTTCAGATAGAGTGGGAGGGAAGAAGGGGAAGGGGGAAATAGAGAGAGAGAGAAACATAGAATTGACAGAGATACATTGACCGGTTGCCTCCCACACAACCCCAACCAGGGTTAGGGATCAAACAGCAATCGAGGTACCTACCCTTGACAGGAATCGAACCCACAACACTTTGGTCTGCAGGCTGATGCTCCAATCACTAAGCCAAACAAGCCAGGGCTGGCAGTTCTTTGTTTGTCACTGGTTGGGACTAAAAATATTAGAACAATTATTGTGTCTATTATTATTTTTATAAATTTTGCATAAAGATGTTATAACCAAATGTATGTCATATATTTTACAAATATTTTCCAGTATTTGCTTTATATTCAGATTTCACATTTCTCTTAAGGTAAATATATATATGTTTTCATACAATTGTGTACTATTGTTTGCATGACATATTTCTGATTTCAACAGTTCCAAAATCTTAGTGACTTAAGACAAGTATTTATTTTCTTTCATAATTCTGTGT